CTGAGGGACAAGGTATTTGGGAACATTCCGTATAGGTTGTGCATGGTTCTAACTACTGTTGAAGCGTCGAAGTATTTTTGAAATTTCGACGCTGAGCATCTTGGGCGCCGAGACGTCGAGCGCCGACGAAAAAAACCGTTTTTTCCCGATAGGACTATTTAAAGAACATAATTTCGATTAACAAAAGTTTATTGGTGACGTTTTTGCCATTAAAGTGTATAACAATATGTTATTGAAGGACATTTATCAATAAGAATGCAAAAATTGTATGAAATATTTTGAAGGTTATTCAATACATTTATGGTCAATAAGAAATAAAAGGAAAATTAAATTTGTACCGAAAGTTTGAATTTACCAATAAAAGTTCCTTTTTATTATTTTTCTGTACTAGTCTCAGAGTTCATATTATCTTCTTCTTCTCAGTACTCTCATTTCTGCCATTTTCAGTCGCCTTTGCGTTGTGGCTAAGTCGGGTCTCGTTTCTGAGGTTATGTCAATATTGGTCTTACAGTGGCTTTATAAATTATTGATTTTATCTCAGTGTTAATGTGTCTGTTTCGCAATATACAGGGTGTTTCAAAAAAAAGGTAACCCCGTCTCTAGGGTAGGTAAAAACCTGAAAAACAATTGGGGTTTGCTTAGTAAAAAATTGATGTAACGCCATCCGTTTTCAAGATACAGTGCGTTGAAGAAAAAAAAATTACGCATTTTTTACGATTTTGCCGAAAGTACTGGCAACATTGTAATGAAATTTTATACGAATATGTTTTGGAAGCTGATATATTCCATGAATTTGTTTTTATATTTGATTCTCATAGAGGGCACTAGTTACAAGGATCGTACTAAATATTAGTAAATATAACTTTTTTAAGAGTATATTTATTAATCAAAATTTCAACTAAACTTAAACATAATTCAATTTTACACGAAAAAGGTACTCTTGGTAAAACTCGATACTGTGTACCGTTTTCGGGATATTTTGATTTGAAAATTATGAAGAAATAATTGGTGCTCGTATAAAATAGGTAGTAATTAAACAAAACTCACAAGAAGAAAATTAAATTAATGACTAAGAACATGAAATAAAATTTAATTACAGTAAGTGTTGAACATGCCCTCCGTTTTCGCGAATACACAAGTCTATTCTTTTTTCTAAAGATTCCATTAACCTTCTAAACGGTAGGGGATCAGCTATGATGTCATTAAATTGACGTTGAATTCTTTCTTCCAATTCTTGGCGTGAATTTACCCCTGTACCATAGACTTTTTCCTTAATATACGACCAAACTGCGTAGTCCAAATGGTTAAAGTCGCATGACCGAGGAGACCAATGAATCGGAGCTTCTGCACCTCAACCAATCCATCGATTTGGAAAATGATTACTCAACCAATTACGACACCTTCTATCAAAGTGTGGTGGAGCTCCATCGTGCATAAAAAATAAAGATTTTTGCTCGTTTAGCGTTAAATCTTCTAATATCTCGAATAAGGAATTGTTTAAAAAATCAAGATACATATCACCACTTAAATTTCCAGGTAGAATATGATAACCTATTAATTTGTTACCTAAAGTTGCTGCCCAAACATTAACTTTAAATGAGTGTTGGTAATGTGATACCCTTTTGACTCGTGGATTCTCATCACACCAGTAGTGTGCATTATGGGAGTTAAACATACCTTATCGCGTAAAGGTGGCTTGTCCGTAAAAAGATAGCATTGAAAAAATTTTGGATTGTGGGCTGTCCTTTGTTGCAATGTTTTACAAAAATTCACTTTAACCGGTAGATCATCTGGCAAGAGCTCTTGGACTTGTCTGTAATGATAAGGATGTAATTGCTGATCTTTCAGTACCCGCCAAGTACTTGAAGAAGAAGTATTTGTTTGTCTTGCTATATTCATTACGCTAACTGTTGGATCCTGATCAAGTAAATTTAAAATATTATTTTCTTTATTAATTGTTCCTGTTGTTCTTGTTCTACCAGAATTTATTTTATTTGGTCTCATATTCCCACTTTCTCGACAACGTCGTTCAACGGCTCTAAATGTTTTTTACTTGGTAAGTTTCTTCTAGCAAACTTTTCTGCATAACGTGTCACAGCTGCACTAGAACATCCTAAACATTCGCCTAAGGTTAATAACATGTCAGTGTATTCAACGTTTGACTACATTTTGATTTGATTTTACAAATAACAAGGTTTCAAAACGCTAATTATTGTTGATTTATCGTCATAACAATCAATAAATGTCAGATTTCCATGGCACACTTGAAGAAAATAGACGTATACCTATTAAAACTTTATCATTACTACCAGCATCAATTATTACTTCAGAATTTTCAAATCAAAATATTCCGAAAACGGTACACAGGATCGAGTTTTACTAAGTACCTTTTTCGTGTAAAATTTAATGATGTTTAAGTTTACTTGAAAGTTTGATTAATAATTATACTCTTAAAAAAGTTATATTGACTAATACTTAGTAAAATCCATGTAACTAGCGCCCTCTATGAGAATAAAATATAAAAACAAATTCATGGGATGTATCAGCTTCCAAAACATATTCGTATAAAATTTCATTACAATGTTGCCGGTAGTTTCGACAAAATCGTTAAAAATGCGTAAAATTTTGTTTTATTCAACGCCCTGTATCTTGAAAACGGATGGCGTTACAAAAATTTTTTATTAAGCAAACCCCAATTATTTTTAGTGTTATTAAGGCATCCTGCCAGAGTATTTGCTTTTGAACTTGATCTCTCACTCTCCCACTTCTTTGTCTAGATCTCCATATCTAGACAGTGTAATTCCCACTTATTTTATTTCTATTACTTGTTCAATACTGATACCATCATTCATCCATTCCTCCTTAGCCTTTCTGATTTCATATTTGATCTTATTCTTGATGGTTTTATTTATTTTTTTTTTTTTCGTCTTTATAGAGGGGGGGGTCTGGAATCTTCAAAAGACATCTCAGTCCAATATGAGTGCATGCTAAAGGACCGTGATAGTATAGTATTAAATCATTTTCATGAGCTACATCTATCTAATCAGCCTTAAACGTCCACTCTTGGGCATAGGCCTCCCATCTTGATGAGCTACATATTTGGTGGGAAAAGATAAATTAGGACAAAGATCACTTATGATGAGGTGAAATAAGGTAGAACTTCACACTGAACCTCGAGGGGTGCCATCGGTTTGAGCACAAACAGAAGAGAACACACTATTTACAGCAACTTTGAAGATCATTAGGGACGAAAATTTTTGTTTCTGTTGCTTTAGCCTGGCGATTATAGCTTGTCGAATAATCGTGTCGAATGCCCCTTTTATGTCAATGACTATAGCCGTTACTTCATACTTTTCATTTATTGATATGGAGATGTCACTCTAGACCTAGAGAAGGAAGAATAACAATATTTTCGCGAGTGGACACAGATCCACAGACCGTTGAAAGTCAGATCGTACTTTAGAAATAATTTCGTATTTGTCAAAATACCCGATAAGACGTTTGTTGATAATTTTTTTAATGATTTTACACATTGTACAGGTAAGAGTAATTACCTTAATGTACGAAACATCATAGAAAAAGCCAGAGAATACCAGATCCCGATATTTATATGTTTCGTCGATTATACAAAGGCCTTTGATAATGTTAGATAGGACAAACTATGGAACATATTGACGACAATGGGTGTACCTAAACACTTGACTCACCTTATTAGCAAACTGTATCAAGATAACCTGGCATATATTCGAATGGACGGATATCTGTCTGACAAATGCACTTTGGAGAAGGGAGTACGCCAAGGATGCGTTTTATCTCCCTTATTATTTAACATCTATTCGGAGTTCATAATACGCAGAGTTTTGGATGGTCGGGAGGGAGGAGTAAACCTAGGTGGTGTTAAGATATCTAACTTGCGTTTCGCAGACGACACTACACTTCTACCCTCTACTCCAGAAGAAATTACTAAATTATTGAAAAAACTCGAGGTAGAAAGTGCTAAATTTGGACTCATGGTTAACTACAACAAAACTAAAAACAATGTTTTTGATCGCCAACAACAGTTTCCTGAAACCCAAACTATTGCGGGATGCGAGGTAGTCTCATCTATGATATATCTTGGAGCTCTAGTTAACAACACAGGCAGTTGTGAATCCGAAATTAGAAGACGCATTCAACTAGCAAGAGCAGCAATGAGTGAACTAAACGGGGTCTGGCGTAATCGTCACATTACTATGACAAACAAAAAGAGACTCGTTTCAACTCTGGTCTTTTCCATATTTTACTATGCATGCGAGACATGAACAGTCAAAGAATCAGATCGACGACGTATAGACGCCTTTGAAATGTGGACATGGAGACGCCTGCTTCGAATTCCATGGACGGCTCGCCGTACAAATATCTCGGTGCTGGATGAAATTAAACCGGATCAGCGTCTCTCCAGTACCGTTTACTCTAGAATTTTAAAGTTCTTTGACCATATCCATCGAAGTGATCACAAAATGGAGCGGTTGGTGGTCCAAGGAAGGCCCCAGACTCAACGCCAACGCGGAAGATCTCCACAGCGATGGTCGGACATTACTAAAAAGCTTCTCAATAAACAGTATACTGAGGCAATACATATAACTGATGACCGCGACCAGTGGAGAAATATTATCAATCAAACTGTCCGAGCTGCTGAAGCCCAATTATGAACCACAACACATCTACTAAGATGTTAATGACTGTGATGATGATGACAGGTAAGAGATGGATAACAGAGGTAGGTATTCGAAAAATATCTTTTATTTAGTAATATATTTTCTTTATTGATAAATGAATTTACATATTATGTTAATATTTTATTTTATTTTTATAGTTTTATTTTTTATATACAAAAATTTTCTTTAAAACTATTTAAATTTTTAATATTATTTTTTAAGTTTTGTTCTTAATGTATAAAGACATTAAGGTAAAGGAATTACGATTTGTACCATTTTTGTCACTCCTTTATATTTTTCCACTTAAAAAGCTTCTCGAAGTGGTTTGATTATAACTTCTTGTATCTAAAAAAAAAACAAAATGTTGCATTATTTAACTGATTTTTACTTTTTTTATGATTAAAATAAAGCTAATATCTAATCTCTCTAATAATCTACTAGAATAGATATATGCTTTATTGTCACTGAAAATTGTACAATTTTATGGACAAAGCTTACAAAATGTCAAAAAAATAACAATAACACTTAAAATTTACTAAAAGTACATGAATCGTCAATATCACAAAATAATGCGATTTGAGAGATTTCTTCCAGTCTCACCAACATACTCAGCTTCACACTGAGTACAACTAATGCTGTATACTACATTTGTTTGGTCTAATTTGTTATCAGAACATATATTATCATTCACTATCTTTTATACCATCATTAAATCTTAAATTAATACAAACACTAAAGGTTATTGACAATATAAAAATAGCAACAAAGAACATAAAAACCATTTCATCTTTAAATTCCAAAACTAAATATCCTAACAAATTAGATCAAACAAATGTAGCATACAGCGTTAGTTGTACTCAGTGTGAAGCTGAGTATGTTGGTGAGACTGGAAGAAATCTCTCAAATCGCATTATTTCTCACAAAAGTGATTGCAGAGTTAAGAAACCATCTTGTGCTTTGGCAGAGCATGTAATAGACAAAGACCATATTATGGATTTTGATAATATTAAAATTTTATGTAGTGAAAGTAATAAAATTAAAAGAACTTTTTTGGAAATGGTTTGTATTAGCAAAAGTGATAATAATTTAAACAAAAGGTCAGAAATTCAAAATCTAAGCAAAATTTATAATTAAATTATTTCTATGTAGTTTATATATGCAATCAGTAAAATATCACATTTTGAATTTTCCATGTATTTGTTACATTTTTTCAGGCATCTATCAATGGTGAATAAATCTTCTTCTTTTTTGTTACTAAACAAAAAATAATTTTTTAAACAAAATTTTATTTTTGACAATATGTCAAAAATAAAAATTTTTAAGTTGGTATTTATGACATTGAGGCTTATTTGTAGCTATTCAATTTTTGTTTACAAATTCAATTGTTTTTGTTAAGAAACTTTTTCAAAATTTATTTCAGAGAAACATTTATTAGAATAGGACATTTTTGTAATAATATTTTTTGTAATAAGATGTTAGCAGCAGTTTAATATACAAAACTAATTTTATTTGGTGAGTTAACAAAAAAAAATTATTTCTAGTTTAACTTTGTAAGATATTTTGTATTTTTTAGAAGCTCTTGATAATAATTGTAATCACAATTGAAAGCTCGAGTAAAAAATAGTCAACAAATAGCCCCTTTTATTGACTCCAACCCATCCAAAATAGTTTTATATTTTTTCCAAACGAGTCACAAGTACTTTTTTTTTATTTATATATATATATATATATATATATATATATATATATATATATATATTGATAAAGTTGTACGTCGACTCTGTAATCTCCTGGTAGAGTTCAAAAAGAAATTAAACCGAAATTTACTTTAGACCTTTGATAAATTAACCCAAATGAAGCACGTTATTTATTAATATTGAACAAATTTAATATAAACAATAAAATTCGTCTGCAACTTCGGTTGCCTTTAAAAATTTACAAAAATAGGAATCGTTTAAGTCTTAACGTGGTTTAGTGACGTGACAATAAAAATGTATTACAAAATGTGGAGACTCTCTACAAGTACCTAAAAACTAAATAAATATTGCAACTTTATAAAGTGTTTAAATGAACTATAAAGAAAAAGAATATGAACACTTTATTCCGCTGATACTCAAATATAATCAAAATTTCAAATGATCCCCAAAATTATTGTCCAACCTCACTTTAAAACAGTTCTGATTTCTTTAAAGGAAACTAACTATTCAAAAATAATCGGTGAAACTGGAATATCAATCCTCTCTTCGGAAGTTAAGGTACGTACTCTTCTATTTTTAATTTAATGATCATTAATAATTTCAATTTTTAAGGCCTATCGCAATTATGTTAATTCATGAATTTTAATTTTCTCAATTTAAATGACATTTCTATACTACAATATAATTTATAAGTGAAATTGTTTCTCTTACTCTCTGGAACAAATTTCTGGATATCTCTGCTGTGGAAACTGTGGAAAAACTAAATTCTAATTAGACGAGTTAAAAAACACTCCCGACCTATTCCACAGTTTCAGGGCTCTCCTTCGTCCAAAAAAAAAACCTCGTCGGCGTCCTCTCCAAAAACCAATTCCTCTTATTATCCGTTGCTAACAGCAACCAACGTTCTTTTTTTTCTGTCTTCTATTTAAATATTTTAAACCATAAAACTGTCCTGTTTGACATATTTGTCAAGCCAAATTACTTTCTCATAATCACTTTAATCACATATAATTTGGGAATTTACAAAAAAAAATGTTTAGATATAAAACTTATTCTATTACAATACTAATTTATTCTTTTCATCTCCACATCATTGTAATTTCTTATTTAACAAAACCCCTATTAATTTAGCTCCCACAGACTGTCAAATAAATTGTCAAGCAGTTTATTTTCTGACGTTTATTAAAATTTCTATGTTTAAATATTTTTTTAAAATTCTTCTTTTTTTGTTCTTTTTAAGGTTTAGACGATTCACCTATACACTAGGCAACTATACTATTCAGAAATTATTAACACTATACCAGGTAAGTCAAAATTAATTTATTTAACAATTTACTAATCTTTTTCTCTCTTTTATTTCAGAGTCGAACCCACATTGTGATGGCTTCATGAAATTCATAAACAACAAACTCATATAAAAATCCATTAAAGTTGTATATATTTTAACATATTGAAATCATTTCAATATATATATATATATATATATATATATATATATATATATATATATATATATATACGGATAATATACAGAGAGAATACATAGCAGAGAATAGTATGGACCAATACGATGCAAACTTTAGTTTATTGGATCGGCGATACTACTGTTGTATTGTATGACACTATCAACGAAAAAATCGAAAAATGCTCAATTTTCTTCTTTACTAGGCCCAACCAGAGCTCGCAAAGGAACCTAGTATTGGATAAGTATACCATAGCACTGGTAAATGAATACAAATACAGTGCAACCTCAATTAAAGATTTCCAACAATATGATTTAGTCCAACTGCTTTACCTGTCTTTATTTTTTAAACTTTACCAGCTTCTTCGTTTGTTATTTGAATAATAAATACTTTTGTAGTAATTACTACAATCATAATTAACTACTTAAATTAATGTAAGTGTTACATTACCTGTACTTTAGGACCTGTTGATAAAATAAACACAACAGTATCTGCAACGTCTTCACTTTCCAATGTAGGAACTCTTGCAATCATTTCATTAAACGCCGGACAGTTTCTTCCTATGTCTGTTTTGACAAGTCCTGGACTCAAATTCTAAAAATTAAAGCACACAAAAGTAAAACTGTATCTGTTTAAAGATTTTATTATAATAACAAATAAAATATTCAATCCGAATGTAAATAAAATTTTCAGTACTTATTGAACAACTCTCCATACCCAATTTTAATTTAGCTCCATGGGATTTGGACAGTTGTTGCTGGTTGCTGGAGAAGATGGCATTGTAAGTGAAATGATAAAACTAGGAGGCGAATGCGTCATAAAGGCTTTAAAAACCCTTTATAATGCCTGCCTCTTTGAAGGAAATACGCCAGAAAAATGGAATAATGCCATTATGATAATATTGCATAAAAAAGGAGATGTAACAGAAATTGGCAACTACAGACCTATCAACTTATTATCTCATTTATATATACTCTTTATGAGAATAATTACTAACAGACTGGGACCTAAGCTAGATTTTCATCAACCTCTAGAGCAGGCCGGATTTAGGAGTGGCTTTGGAACAAATGACCACCTACAAGTAATAAAATCCTTGATAGAGAAAGTTATAGAATACAACAAGCCATTGATATTAATATTTGTAGACTTTGAGAAAGCATTTGACTCAGTCCAGCATAGCTCCATGTTAAGAGCTCTTACAGAGTGCAGTATTGACCATAGGTACACAACTCTTCTTCGAAATATATATGATAGCGCAACAGCTGCTGTAAAAATGTACTATGGTGACACAGACACATTTCCCTTGGAGAAAGGTATTAGGCAAGGAGACACTATCTCTCCTAAACTATTCACCGCCCTATTACAGAGTGCTATGAGAAAAAATAATTGGGAAAATATTGGATTAAATATAAATGGGGAATTTTTGAACAACTTGAGGTTTGCAGACGACATAGTCCTTATTGCAGATCAGGTAGATCATGCATGCCAACTTCTTCAAGACCTTCAGAGCTCTTGTGCACGAGTTGGCCTTAAAATTAATTTTTCCAAAACACAATACATGACCAACCTGGTACTGGCAAAAAACATTTCCACTAATGGCACGCAAATTGAACAAGTGTATTCCTATAAGTATCTGGGCCACGAGAATAAATTGGGAAGAGACAATCAAACAACAGAGTTAAAAAGGAGAATAGGACTGGCATGGGCAGCTTACGGAAAACTGAGGGAAGTCTTTAAATCAGCTATTCCCATGTGCTTGAAGAGAAAAGTTTTTGATCAGTGTGTACTTCCAGTTCTGACATATGGAGCAGAAACATTGACACTTACCAGAAAAGTAATTAATAAGATACAAGTGGCACAGAGAGCGATGGAGAGGTCAATGTTGGGCGTATCACTCAGGGACAGAGTTTCGAGTCAGATAGTAAGGAGAAAAACTGGTGTGACGGACGCAGTTGAAAGAATTACAACCCTGAAATGGAACTGGGCAGGACATGTTGCTAGGGTCAGAGATGGAAGATGGACAAAGAAAATTTTAGAGTGGAGGCCTAGACACGATGCTTATCGTAGTCGAGGACGTCCTCCAACAAGGTGGTCGGACGATTTAAAGCGCATCCAGTCTAACTGGATTCAAGTTGCTCAAGATCGGATCCAATGGAATTATTTACGGGAGACCTATGTTCAGCAGTGGACGCAAAATGGCTAATGATGATGATGATGCTGGTTGCTAATTATTTGATGTGTAATACCGAATCCTAGCAACATGTGGCGTAGAAGCAAGGAACATGACAGAAAACGATACATTTTATTATTACTTTTAAAAGAAAAATATTAAGAAGAATATTGGGACAGCAATAATAGTATGTGAAGAATGAGTTATGCGAATGTTATAAAAAACCCTCTATAGCAAATTATGCAAAAATACAAAAATTGCACTGGCCTGGTCTCCTCATAAGAATGGATAATATCAGAACACCTAGTAGAACTCTTAGTGCAAGTATGGTGGGACGTCGGCCAGAGGGAAGACCAAGGAAGAGGTGGGTAGAAGAAGTGAAACCGATGCTAAAGAGATATTGATGGTGGATAATTAGAGGAGAGCAGCCAATAAAAGGGATGCTTGGAGACGAAAGCTGGACAGGCCAGGGACTGAAGAGGAAGAGAGAGAGAAGAGTGGATCATGTCGTGTCAAAAGTTATATACTCTAACAACATCTCCTTAACTTTATGTTAAATCATATTTTAAATGAACATATCGCAATTACAGCTAGATTTGCTCCATACGTGCAATTTCGGTAGTCTTATCGTCGAGAATCTCGTCGTTTCCTTTACTTCACCAATGATCTTTTGTTGACTAATTTTACCTGAAATGTCAATTATTTCATTTTTGATTTGCGATCTCATGTAAAGGACATTCTTCTAGGCAGTAACCAAATGCTCTAAAATAATTTTATCCCCCAAATTGGCTTGTACCGCAATAGTGCTCAAAAATTACAATCACTCTGAAGTGGTTGTTCAGACTCTGGTGTAATTTGGAGCCAATGCGAATTAGTTTTATTCCAAAGGTATATCTTGTTTGCCGCAAGAATTATTTCATTTACAATAGGGACTAGTTTTTTTCGGTTTTCATGTTGCAAGATGCATTTTTTTTCAGAAGACAACTTCTCAACTGAAAATACCTGTTAGGCCTTTTAATTTTATTAATGTTAACTTTTCGGGAGTGGGGTTGGAACTCCCAAACCCCGCTACACTTGTGATTTTACTGCATTTGCCTTCGATTAGACCAATTAATAATGTGATCGATTGTAATTTACAGATTTCCTGTAGCGTTCTTAAGATCATTGTGATTTTTGTGAACTGTATTGGAAGAATTGGAAACTGATTTGAACTAATGCTCTGCTTTGTGGAAATTTTTGTGGTTTATGCGAGGAGAAGAATATCATTTGACAAAAAATATATCTGTCACAGACCTTTATTTATTATAAAATGTATTTAAATTTTGGTTATTGATTTCCTCACGAAGCTAGTTTCCTTATATAAAAGTAATATACGAGAAAGAGGAAAAAAAGGAAGGGAGTTCAGAATAGATGTATTAAATAACAAATATAAAGCAAAGAACGAAAGGGCATAAATCAAAATATATGTATTTTGATAAAGAAGAAATGCTGTACTACTATGCATTGTATTCATTTTATTTTTAATGAAATATAAACTTACGGTAACTTTAATATCGAGATTGTTCGCTGCAAGTTCCCTTACTAATGTTTCTGCTAGAGCTGTTACAGCATGCTTGGTTCCAGGATACACATTACTGAAGGTAAAGTACGGCACTTTGTGACCACCCACACTATTCATATGAATGATGTGTCCGTTGACATTATTCTTCACCATATCCTTCACAGCTTCTCTTGTACCAACGCAAAGACCCATTATATTGGTATCTTAAAAAAAAATTTAGTATACTAAACCAACTGTTCTACAGATTTTCGTATTATTAAGGAAAATTCGGAAAATTATATTAACCATCTAAATTAAAAGGGATATACTCATAAAGAATTGTAAACTAGAACAATAATTTACCTTTGTAACCTGAACAAATTTGTTTTTTAAACCGATGTAAAATCAATTTCATACCAGCTAATACTAACAGATTGCTGGAGGTATTGATGCAGATCTCACTACTAAGAACCAAAAGTTCAAAGTTGTGGGAGAGTGTGTTCCATTCGATATATCGAGTAAATGCTTAGCGTTTCGCAAAATATAATATCCAATGGTTTTAAAGATTTCGAAAAACTAGTTTTTCATTTTTAAAGTGCGTCAAGAGTGGATAGTTACTCCTACAGCTTCAACAAGGAGACTGGCAAATGGTACCATTGTTTTACCTACTACCGTACACAGAAGATTAAATGAAGAAAAGTTATCATTTTATATACCTGCTACAGGTACTTGCAGATTGGGCTATGTAAGATTAGATTTAGTCTTTAAAGACTAAATTGTCTTTAAAGAGTGTGGAAAAGGCCTAGAGAATGCTGTTTTTAATGTTGGTTATCTTCTAAAATATGTTGTGGTAGTGAAGATATGATTGCACGGGGCAGCATTTCTTTGGAAGCACTTACAGATCTGGACATATTAGGAGGTGACTTGCATCCTGATAGATACATTACTGAATGTTTGAAAGAACATGTGGTACCTTATACGCATTTTGTAGGTGAACATTTTCTCCTAATGCAGGATATTGCTCAGTCACACGTGGTCAATGCAATTCTTTTCACATGTTACTATTCTGGTACTAGCCTGGTGTCCTAGAAGTCCAAACCTTTACCCTATAGAATACTTGTGAGACAACTTGGCAAGAGTAGATAAGCAAAATTATGGCGATTGAAACTGTGGTAGCATTAGAACAGGTTCTGATAAACGAGTTGGAACAAATACCGCAAAACGAGGGTGCTGCTTTGATCTAGTCTAAGCCAGAAAAGATAGTCTATGCCAGAAAGAGAAGTTATGTCAGGTCAAGAAGACAATAATTAATTTTAATATCCATATTTTTAAATTATTTTATGAGTTCGATTTGAGAAATATCTTACTACAAAATAAAAACATTTTGTACTTTCTTTTAAGTGTAAAATTAATCAATATTTTGTAACTTATGTTTTACTTTTTGGTTTTTATTGAGCATAAAATAAAAAACGTAAAATTATGTTTTTTAATGCTTTTCAATTGTTCTTAAAATAAACTTAGTGGCTACAATAACAAATATGCAAAAACTATAGGTGCATTTATATATGTTGTCAAGTGTCTATATATATTGTCAAGTGTTTGTTATAAAAGTTAAACAGTTTGGAAATTATAAATTTATTGTAAATACAATGACATTGAATAAAATATGTTACCTATAATTTCTCTCCATTTTTGCGAATCTCCATTTATCAAATTTGTCGCCTCGATTATTCCAGCATTGTTGATCAAAATATGGACTGGTCCCAGGTTTTCCCTACACCATTTAAATACAGCTAGCACTTCTTCTTCTTTCATCACATCGCATTTCATGGGATGTAGTTTGCCTTTTTCGTTCTTTAATCTAACTGCTAAAGCTTCCATCAGCTTTACTCTTCGCGCTATACCAACAACCTAAGTAATTTAATATAAAGTTTCATTTATAGGTTTAAATCAATCAGTTAATTTTTTCTGCAACAACATTTAAAAAGTAAATTATTTTTTTGTATGTGAAAAAAAACAAAGTCCGCATTAAGAAACTGTTGCTTTCTTGCAAACACTTATTTCTTGTTGTGAAATGTTAAGGGGAACGAATGAAGCACAAATTTTACCAAAATGAAATATTAATATTGACAAAAATTGTAGGATTTTTCACTGTTATTTAAGTTGGTCTTTGGTCTTGGTCTTTAAGCAAATATTTTCCGAGGAAAATTGTCGAAAGAAAATAATGTGGACCGATGCCTCTTACCCAACCTAAAATATGCTCATATCACATCAGTTAATGTTGAAAGGAGCTTTTAATTTATAAATTTTAAATTCTGACAGAAAACTAAAAAATAAATTGTTAATAGAAAATTTTGAGAAATCATTAATTTTTTACTGTTGAACAATCTGAAGTATAAAATGTACCTATAATTATTGTAAGTTTTGGTTTTATCTATTTGATATTATGATTTGATTTGATTTGATGATTTGATCTTGATGATTTGATATCTATATTGCTAGAGATAGTAGAAGACTTCTATAAAACACTATACACAAATAAATTGGATTTAAACCCGACAGAACATACAGAACAAAAAATTATGAATCAAGGTTCAGAAGATATTCCCGACATATCAACGGCTGAAATTTACCATGCTCTAAAGAAAATGAAAAAAAACAAAGCACCAGGAGAAGATGGAGTAGTGGCGGATGCGCTAAAAATCGGAGGCTCTGCTCTCATCAGGACAATCAAGCAGCTCTTCAATATATGCTTCGAAAACCAAGCAATACCAGCTGAATGGAATAATTCTATAACGCTCCTCATGCATAAGAAAGGAGATCAAACAGACCTCGAAAACTATAGGCTAGTCAGTCTTCTAAGTCACCTGTATAAATTATTTGCTCGAATTATCACTGCCAGAATTGAGAACAAACTAGAAACATGCCAACCAAGAGAACAGGCAGGTTTCCGCCCTGGGTATGGTACAAATGACCATTTAACTTGTCTAAAGGCCCTAATTGAAAAAACTATAGAGTACAACCGGCCACTAGTCCTAGTATTTGTTGACTATAAAAAAGCCTTTGACACTATCGAGATGGTAGCTATCTTAAGAGCTTTGAGAGATTGTAGAATCGACTACCGATATACCAGCATTATTCAACATATATATGCAAATGCCACAACAGCAATAAACCTCCACACCCTACTCAAAAAATAAAACTAAAAAGGGGAGTTAGACAAGGGAACAACATGTCACCAAAACTATTCAATGCCGTAATGCAGCATGCATTCCAGATGTTAGAATGGGAAAACAGAGGTTTAAGTGTCGATGGCGAAAGGCTGAACCACCTGCGATTTGCAGATGACATAGTTCTAATAACCGACGACTTAAAGGAGGCCAACGAAATGCTACAAGATTTACAACGAGTCTCCCAAAAAGTAGGGCTGGAAATAAACTTTGCGAAAACTAAAATGATGACCAACTTAGTACCTAGTGGACCATTGAAACTAGAAAACTGGCATATTGAAACGGTTGACAAATACATATATCTGGGCCACGAAATACAAATAAGTAGAGACAACCAAACATGCAAATAGAACTAGAAGAATAGCTTTAAGATGGGCAGCCTATGGCAAGCTAAAAGACGTGTTTAAGGAAAACATCCCAATAAAGCTAAAGAGAAAAGCATTTAACCAGTGTGTACTTCCGGTGCTCACTTATAGAGCTGAAATACTGACATTGACTAAAGCATCAATAAAAAAGTTACAAGTAGCACAACGAAAAATGGAAAGATCTATGCTTGGCGTAACTTTGAGAGACCGAATACGAAATGATGAGATACGGCGAAGAACTGGAGTGGAAGACGTCATAAAACGGATTACGAAGTTGAAGTGGAAATGGTCAGGACACGTCGCAAGACAGAGAGACAACAGATGGACAAAGAAGATTTTAGAATGGCGGCCAAGGGCAGACAAGCGAAATCGTGGAAGACCACCTACCAGATGGACGGACGACATTAAAAGAATAGTGACAAACTGGATCGCAGCTGCACAGGACAGAGAAGAGTGGAGACATCTTGAGGAGGCCTATGTTCGACAGTGGACAAATTTGGCTGTGTGATGATGATGATGATGATGATATTATAATATACTTTAAAAATCATAGTGTAATTTGTTGAAAATAATGTTTTTTCTTCCTATTATTGACAAAAGTCGTGCATATTTAGGCGCAAATAATATGCATTTTTGCTTAAGTCTGCAGATAACACAAGGATGTATGTACATAAAAATCTGCAGAGAATATATAAATACAGTCATGATCAAGATCTGGATTCCATCTCATCTAGGAATCCCTGGTACGAACTAGCCGACCTCTTTGCAAAACAAACCGCGTCTTCTAATATGGAAACTGAAAACATACACTACATCAGACTTACAGTCACATTTTAAAAATACCATCCAAATATCTCGGCAAGATCATTTTAATAAATTCCCTTCCAAGCTTCGTGATATCTGTCTCATCGTTAAAAAGCTTGAGTTTCCTTCCATGACACGAAAAAACAAAATCTTAATTCGCCGACTTAGAATCGGCCATACAAGACTAACTCAAAAACATTTAATGACTTCCCAAAATCCGCCTACATGTATATACTGTAGCATTATTCTATCTGTTAAACATAGTTTCCTGCTACAATGCGGTCAAAGGAGAAGAAAATGGTTGGCTGCGTTCTATTCACAGATCCTTAGAACTGGAAACATACCAAAAGCTTTTAAAAAGAGCAAAATAATTGCTGTAATAAAATCCAATAAACCTCACAAAGCATAAAAGGGACATTTGGATTAAATACGTGGAAAAAACTTTTGAAGATGTACGAAGTAACACTGGTATTACAGCAAACACCAATTGCGAATCTGGATCACCATTTAAAGTCGAAGAAGTAAAATATGCCATCAAAAGCACCAAAGATGGTAAAGCAGTAGGCCCTAATAATTTTCACTTAGAATTCTTAAAACTTATGGACTATGATGGCATAAAATGGTTGACAAATATATTTAACAATGTATATGATACAGGCATAATTCTCCAAAAATGGTCAGTGTCAACTTTTATAAATCTTCCAAAAAAAAACCCAATGCGAGAAAGTGCGAAGACTATAGAATTATAAGCCTTATAAGCTATTTACTTAAAACATTTCTAAAGGTCATTCGTAAAAGAATATAATATACAAAATGTGAGGAACATCTAACAAGAACACAATTCGGATTTCGTGATGCTCTGGGAACACGGAAGGCCCTTTTTGCTGTACAGGTGCTATTTCAGAGATGCAGGGATGTGAGTTGTGAAATATACGTATGCTTTATAGATTATCAGAAGGCATTTGACAGAGTAAAACATAAGAAATTAATTACTACAATCAAACGGCCAAAATCAAAATAGAAGACCAGTTAACTGATAAAATTGCAATAGAACGTGGAGTAAGACAGGGCTGTATTTTGTCTCCATTGTTGTTCAATATTTATTTTGAATGGGTATTTAAGGAAGTTTTAGACGGTTATGCGAAAGGAATACTAATAAACGGTGAATGGTTGAATAACATTAGATATGCACATGACACTATAGTTTTTGCCGATGATCTGAATGACTTACAGATATTAACAAATCGCATAACAGAAGTCAGGAACAGATACGGACTAGCTCTTAACATAAAGAAAACCAAATTTATGACAATTAGTAAAAAACCAATACTAAACGCACAACTTACAATCAACCAACAGAATATTGAAAGAGTCGAGCAATATACATATCTAGGCACCAATTTAAATAGCCAATGGGACCACTCAACAGAAAGTAAACAGCGAATAATAAAAGCAAAAGCAGCATTCGTTAGAATGAGAACCATTTTCAACAGTCGAGACATATCATTAAAAACAAAATGCCGTCTATTGAACTGCTACATATTCACAGTTCTGCTCTACGGAATGGAAGCGTGGACACTGACTGTTGCATCTATGAATCAGCTAGAAGCTTTCGAAATGTGGTGTTATAGGCGCATCTTACGTATATCCTGGGTTGACAGAGTTACTAATATGGAGGTCCTGCATAGAATGGGGAAAGGATGTGAAATTCTCATGACCGTCAAAACTAAAAAGTTCGAATATCTAGGACATGTAATGAGAAATCAAGAACGTTACGGCCTTCTCCAGCTGATTCTTCAAGGGAAGGTAAATGGTAAGAGAGGACCCGGAAGAAGACGCATTTCCTGGCTTCAAAATTTACGAAAGTGGTATAACACGACTACCACTGAACTGTTCCGCGCTGCAGTAAACAAAGTAAAGATAGCCGTGATGATCGCCAACATTCGGAACGGAGAGGCACTTTAAGAAGAAGACTAAACCCCACGATTAAGTTGAAAGCTACCGTCCTATAGCACTTCTCAGTTGCTGCTATAAACTGCTGAAACAACTTATCCTAAACTGCATAGGCCCACAAATTCTTGAAAATATCACACTCGAACAAGCAGGTTTCTTCTTCTAGAACAAGTCTAACTACGCATATAGAAGCAGGCTTCCAAAAGCAACAAAAGACCGCTGTAGTCTTTGTGGATTTGACAGCTGCCTAACAATACAGTATGGAAGGAGGGACTCCTTTATAAACTAACAAAACTAATCTCATGCTAAATAATATTTCAACTAATAAACAACATGTTCTCTAATCGATACTTCCAGTAATCCAAGGTAATGACATAAGCAAACAGAGGAAATTAAATAATGGACTACCCCAAGTCCTTGCTTCGATGCTTTTCAACTTATATATATATATATATATATATATATATATATATATATATATATATATATATATATCAGACCTACCTGTCACGGATGGAAGAAAGTTTGGCTACGCTGACGACCTAGCAATAGCAGTACAACACAAACAGTTTGAAATTACTCAAAACGTGCTGACAAACGACCTCAATAAACTATATGAATATTTCACAAAATTGCGCATGATACCCAACTTAAATAAAACTGAGGAAAGCTGTTTTTACCTCAATAACAAACAGACAAACCAAAAATTAGAGGTAGAAATGAGAAATGTTGCACTACCCTACCAACCCTACTCAAAATATGTGGAGGTTACCTTGGGCAGGACTCTCTCGTTTAAAAAACATCTACAAATAACTGCACAAAAAATAAGTAGTAGAAATAACCTTATCCACAATCTTTGTGGTACCAACTAGGGCGCATCTGCGGACACACTACGAACATCTGTGCTAAGTTTGGTTTATTCTGTGGCAGAGTACTGTGCACCGGTCTGGCTAAATAGTCGTCATGTAAAAATAGTTGATACGCAGCTTAATATAGCGATGAGAATGATTGCTCCATTGCAAGACTACTCCACTATATTTGCTTTATATTCCTCCGCCTATTCTACGAAGACAAAAGGCCTTGATAACGGAGTATTCGAAAGTAAATAGCAACTTGCAACTACCAATCCATAAAGACATCCCGAGTTTAGCAGCAAACCGACTCCCATCCAGAAAACCATCCATAAGAACAGCCCAACAGCTAACAGCAGATGATTTTAATGTTACCTCCAGATGGCGCACGCTGTGGACTGAGAAAGCCCCACCGGAAGTAACCTACCTTATTGATCCAGTCCAAAAGCCTGATGGCTTCGACCAGCCACGAAACATATTGAAGAGCCTAAACCGAATTAGAACGGGACATGCAGTATGCGCACACAACCTACATAAACGGGGAAAACAGCCTACCTCCAGCTGCGACTGTGGAGCTCCGGATCAAACCATCCAACACATAGTGGAGACATGTGAATTGGGGGCATATCGAGGGGACTCTAAAAGACTTTTTCAAAACCACGCCTGCAAGCCTTGAATGGATAGCTCAACTTGACTTAAAGATTTAATCTGTTTGTATTATATTTTATCTGTATTTTGTCTATGTTCGTTTTTATAATCCTATGTTTGTATTTTTGAATTATGTACTTACTTTTTTACAATTATTACTGTATTTACTTTATATATTGAGCCATACGCTAAATTATAATGTTAAACATATTCTCGTAGACTGTCCCTATTTCAACAACAGAAAAAATAATCTTTTGAGTCGAAACCTACAAAATATTCTCAACTCGCCAGATCAATTCCAAAGCCTTATTAATTTTCTCTATGAAGCCAGGCTCTACCAGAAAATATAAAAGAAGAAACGTAGTTTATAATTTAATAATTAATTAATAATTGTACCAATATTTAATATATTGTATATTCTTGTAATGTATTGTAATAAAATTGTACCTGTGTTAGTGACCTATTCTGTCGAGACACGTAAAGCTTAGTAAATTCCACATCTAAAGCTATATAATCAAACCCTTAGTTTCACAAATAATATCAGATTTTTAGGTATGGTTTTCGACCAAAAGCTCTCCTGGAAAAAACATACAGAAGAACTTAAAAAATGATGCCAAGCAGGACTAAATTTCATGAAAACTATTTCCAGCAAAAACTGGGGAGCAGATCAAAATACACTATTACATAGTTTATTCATCAAGCAAAGTATCAGTATTGAAAACATTAAAAACTGTTCAAAACACAGCTTTACGAATAGCTACAGGCGCGTTTCGCACGACACCAGTTGAAAGTTTACAATGCTTAACAGGAGAACCACTACTAAGTTTACGACGCAAATACCTTTCTCTCTCATATGCTTCTAAAATAGCTAGTAATAAAGAACACCCTACTTATAACAATACGTTCACAGATCGATTTTAAGACACTTTCTCTACAAGAAGACTAGATCCACCATTTTACGAAAGAATAAGAAGAAACCTTCATGACCTACATCTTAAATTTCCTGAAATTCTCCCAACAAATTTCCTAACTTCTCCACCTTGGTTAATACCAATTCCCAAGATTAATACTAACCTTAGTATATATAAAAAACGTGAGACTATAACATTAAAACAGTTTAGGAAAAATGAGAAAAATGAAGACAACATTTCTCTCATAAAGTTAAATGAATGGGAAGAATATTATACGAAACTGCTGAAAGAGGATAGAGTAGAGTACAGATGGGAAAAGATAAGAGAATCAATAGACAACAGAGACGAAAGAGAGGAAATCCCTATAATAACATTATCTGAATTGACGGAAACCTTAAAAGAGGTTAAAAACGGAAAAGCCGCAGGGCCTGGAGACATTCCCATAGAGCTGGTTAAATATGGGCCGACTGCACTTTTAGAATTAATAGTAGACCTTTTCAATAAATGTATGTGTGGAAACCAGGAAATTCCTAAAGATTGGAATAAATCTTATATAAGCTCCATATATAAGAGAGGGAATAAAAGAGACTGTTCCAATTATAGAGGTATTAGTGTGACGAGCTCTGTGGGCCGGTTGTACGGCAGAATATTAAAGAAGAGGGTTGAAAGACAGATACAAGATATTGAAGAACAAAGCGGCTTTCGTACCGGGAGATCCTGCCTTGATAATATATTTATCCTACGACAAATAATTGAAAAGCGTGTCGAAAGAAGTAGAGAGACCCATTTGGTCTTTATAGACCTTGAGAAAGCATATGATAGTGTCCCGTTAAAGAAAATGTTTGAGGTCCTCAAAAGGTCCGGATTGGATTCGACGTATATCCGAGCGATATATAAATTGTACGAAAATGCAGTTAGTTGTGTAAAAATTGGAACCAGAACCTCAAATGAATTTAAAGTCACTAAAGGCGTAAAGCAAGGATGCTGTTTGTCACCGACACTCTTTAAAATATACGTCCAAGAAGCATTAAGGAATTGGAGAAATAAATGTAGATTTATGGGCATCGAAGTGGGACAAGAAACTCTGTATACATTGTTGTTTGCAGATGATCAGGTGGTGGTTGCAACCGATGAGGAAGATATAAATTATATGAATCGAAAATTATTTGAGGAATATGCCAAATGGGGGCTTACTGTAAACATAAGCAAAACAGAATATTTAAAAATTGGAGGAAATACCACAGATCTGAGGCTTGAAAACGCAGTCATAAAAGGCTGCAACCAGTATAAATATCTAGGAAGCATCATATCAGCAGATGGCAGAGTTAAGATAGATATACAAAACCGAATAACCCAAGGGAAAAAATGCATCCGAATACTGAATTCATTACTGTGGTCTAATAAAATAAAGATGCATACCAAACTTCGCGTATACAGAGCAATTGTAGAACCAATTACCACATATGGTGCAGAATGTTGGACGATGACAAAGAATGAACGAGATAAAGTAGACGTTGTGGAAATGGATTATCTTAGAAGGTCATGTCGAGTATCGAGAATGGAAAGAATCAGGAATGAGGAAATACGAAACCGTACAGGAATTAGAGATACTCTTTCAGATAGAATACAAGGAAGGCAATTACAATGGTATGGTCACGTGATGAGAATGGAGGAGGAGCGATGGCCAAAGAAAGCCTTAATGTATGTTCCGCCAGAAAGAAGGAAAAGGGGAAGACCACCAAATTCCTGGAGAAGAGAAATTACAAAAACAATGCAATCTAGAGGCTTAGAAGAGGGAGATTGGGGAGATAGGAAAAGATGGAGGCTGAAATGCGGGAAGCGGCAATCGCCGTAGGACCCCCGTTATATGATGATGATGATGAGACTATAACAGACCTGAGCAAACAATCATTCTTAACAGAAATGGAAACTTATAAAAATCACTATAAGATATTCACTGACGCATCCAAATCTTCAGACGGTGTTGGTGCAGCCATCCTTACACCCAATACATCCTTAAAATTTAAATTGAATCCCATTACTTCGTCGTATACTGCGGAGTTGTTTGCAATATTGCAAGCACTTATCCACATAAAAGAGACGAAACAGTCCCCGTCTCTCATAATAACCGATTCACTAAGCTCACTTCACACTATCAAACGTTTATATACCAATAATCCAATTTCCTCACATATTAAATCAGAAATAGAGATTCTAAATAATAATAAGATCACTGTTCACTTCATGTTTGTTCCATCACATTCAGATATACAAGGAAATGAAGAAGCAGATGAACTAGCCCGCTTAGCATCCTTCAACAAGGACTCCATTCTCATTAATAAGGTTCATTCAGATGACTTTAAGTCAGAAATGAAACATAATGTGTTAAGTGCGTGGCAAAATAAGTGGAGTGCATCACAAAATAAACTCAAAGAAATTAAACAATTAGTGAAACCGTGGCTCCAACCCACAGCGAATAGACACGATTAATTGAAAATAGCACGTTTGCGACTAGGACATAGTAACTTTACACATAAACACCTCTTTACGCGAACTGTGCCGCCAATATGTGAAATGTGTCAAGTAACACTCTCCGTGAAACATATACTAACTCAGTGCAAAAAATATGAAGCAGCAAGAAAAAAGCACACTATACCAAATAATATGAAGGAAGCCCTAGGAAAAAATATAAGGACTATATCATTTATTGTAATTTTTTTTTAACTTTACCTGTATTTTACATTTAGGTCGCTAATAACCCTGGTGGTTACAGCGTAAATAAATAAAAAAAAGCTTAGTAAAAAAATTATGCTAAAGGAAAGACCAACAAAATAAGAGAAAATTATTATAAACAGAATTTTTGGTTCTTACCTCACAACCCTCTTTAACTAATCTCTCTGCAACAGCCGCCCCAATACCACAACTAGCACCTGTCACTACAGCAACTTGGCCTACCCATCGTTCCATAGATAGCGGCATTATTATTAAACTATTCTTGTTAATATAAATAATAAAACACTAGAATATGAACAAACAACTACCGAGTGTATTTAATTGTTTTTATGTGTTCTGCAATCGTGTAAACTTGCAAGGCGTCTACTACTTTGTTTGGTTTCCTCTCAAATTTAAACTAAACCTCAATGACAGTTCCGTACTAGCTTAGCTTTTAAGAGAAACTATTAATTTTTTTAATTCGGGTATTGTGCTGGGAATGAACAAGGTATTAATTAAATCAAGTAATTCTACTGTTGTGCGTTGTGTATTCAGTTAAAAAATCAATTAAACCATTTAAATAGCAAAATTTTCATTTTCTTTTTGAAGTACTGTTTTGAACATATTATGTACAACTTTTTTAAATATTTTTAATTCTAAATCTTTGTCTCTTAATGAAGTTGACAAAAAATAAGCAAAATATAGAGAAATAAAAGAAAAAAGAGTTTTTTTTTTAATAAGAGACCGCATACCCGATACACCAATACAATAAATAATTGTTATACAGATTGAACGAAATAAATTCGGAACATACGAAATATTATGTATTTCGGCTCAATTCTGCTGTAGCTGGTTGACCAACAAAAGGTTGTCAAATAATTATATTATAAAAATCCAATACTTCAGCGGGCTGCTGGATTCTGACATAAAAATTGAAAGCTACACATAAATCTACGATTTTATTATGCTGTCAAACCACTTATAGTCCAGAAAATGAAGCATTTCACCTCGCAATTTTTTCGTCCTGCGTGGATTGACTTGAAATTTTAACAGAAGCTAGGTAATAGCCAAGGATCAAAATCTATATCGAACCAAAGTGCGCCAAAGCCTTAGGGGTGGTTGTCACCGCATCTCGGGGTGAAATTTTTTTTACGTTTTAACTACAGGTTTCGATTAAAAAAGTTATTCTAAACAAAAAATGTTGTATACATTTTTTTGTAAAACTGATATTTTTCAAGTCATTCGCGATTGAAAGTAACAACTTTTAGACGAAAAAATCGACGTTTTTAATCGATTTTTTTTCGCGAATAACTCGAAAATGGTTCATTTTATCAAAAAAAATTGTAGAAAACAAATTTGTAGCTTAAAAAAACAAATACAATTCATTTTTTAAAATGTTTTTGCGATATAACAGGAACCAAAATACGGCCTATCAATGTTCAGCGGTTTTCTTCAAATGCCAAATTTGAAAGATTCAAAGTCAAATATCGGGAAAATGATGCATTTTTGGAAGAAAACTCACAGAACCTTTTTTTAAAGAGCATAAATAGACCTATTATAAAAAAAGACTCTAGCTCAAAAATTGAGTGAGTTATGATAAAAATAAGGTCAATACCTCATTTTTTCTTTTGCAATTCTCTTTGTACATGTATTGTTAATACGTCCAAGAAGTTTGACCCATTTAAAATGCTTAGTTTTAGAAAAAGTACAGCATAAAGCGAGAAACGATTTACAATTTCATATTTTTTACCCTTCTTTTTTTAAATATCCCCGAAAATACTGAATATACGAAAAAAATAAAAACGTACTAGATTGTAGCTTTTTTAATGACTAAAATTTTCTTTTATTTAGATTTGTTGTACAATGAATATTTGGCGAGATATAGCCGTTTAAAGCATCGATTTACGATCAAGCACCATCTTTTTCGAGCCCTTTAAACTCACCTCATTAAAAAACCAAGGGTTCCAAAAAGATTTAATTTACAAATCCTTATAGTTTTTTAAAACCTCTAGAAAACCGTTTTTGAAGAAACCCTCTATCGTTAAAAATGAAGGAAATACGCTAAAAAAAGCAATTAATTTTTTTCCGGAAAATTCCATTGGTATAGTACAGTACATTTCGGAGCATAATAATCTACAAAACCGGTATACTAGGTAGTGGGGCGTTATGCATTCGAAATTTTAAGCGTTTTTATTTATTTATTTTGAAATCCCATACAACAGAATAAAACATCTGCTCATATGTCTATGGCTTGGCAATGAAAATATCAGAGCAATAGATGGGGATGGTATTCCAAAGATGGCTTGTTATTACCCGTACGCATGAACAAACAACCTGCACCCGATGAACTTTTGAAAATTATTTTTTGCCAATGCAAAAACGCATTACTACTTTTTTTTTACATTAATCCCTAACAAGGGTCGCTTTTTAAGGGTTGAAATATGATGGAACTTTATTCAAAAGCACGAAACTATCATTATTTAATTAATTCAAACCAAATTTTACCCATATTCAGGTTTAATATGTTATTTTATAATTTTTGACAATTAGGGGTAGTTTTCGCCAATAAGAACAATCAGGGTTCGTCGACATGACATAAACTATAAAGCAGTGAGTGAATTGAGCTTAAATCCAAATTTTTATCCAAATCGATCCAAGGCGAAATCATTTTTTTTTGGAATTAGTAATTTTTTTACATTAATCTCTAACAAGGGTTGATTTTTAAGGATTAAAATATGATGGAATTCTATTCAAAAGTATAAAATAATCATTATTTAACTAATTCAAACCAAATCGTACCCATATTCAGGTTTAATATGTTATTTTATAATTTTTGACAATTAGGGGTAGTTTTCAATCCTAAAACCCTTCAGCGCACTTCGGTTCGATATATATTTTGATCCTTGGTCTATTACCTACCTTCTGTTAAAATTTCAACTTAATCCAAAAAATTGCGAAGTTTTAACTTTTTTCGAGCTTCATTTCCTGAACTATTGTCGCTTCCTACGCAAACAACTTGTTGCGGGACAGATAGTTGAACGATATTTTATACAATGTCTGTACCCAGGTACGCATTTATTTTTGTCCAAGTTTAATTTGTTTTTTTTTTGTCCAAATTGTATGATCCGTTTTAAATTCGGTCAATCTGTATATATATATATATATATATATATATATATATATATATATATATATATATATATATATATATATATTATTTATTACCTTGTCATTCATTGTCGTATTCTACGGTTTCTGTAGGACATGCAAATTGGCCGAATCCTCTTTTGAGTGTCAAGTAGTCACTCTCCGGCACTTTCTGCTAGCCATCTTTAAATTATTTGTTATTTTTTACCTTACTCCAAATACTTGTGTTACATTACACATACACATTTTTATTACATTTGCGTCCTAAACCTCGCAGTCCCACATATTTTTGTTACAAACTGTACCAAACCAATATTTAGTATTTTTATAAAAATTAATGTGGGTACATAATATTGACATTTTAGTTTTTTTATAATAAAGTAATTTTATCTTCTCCGTTACTGAGGCGTTCAGATATTGTTTAATCCCTTAGGGTTTGCTCATTTGCATTTTGTGGTACATTGCATTTGAGATTTGTCGGGATGGTCTTAATAAAATCGAGTGAAAATTTTGATAAGAAGGTATCAATTATGACGTTTTTCTGCATTGACCAATTATGTATCAGAGATGGCTCTATTTGGTCTGAATCCATTTTGATGTATTTTTTAGGGGTAATTATGATCGCAGTTCATTTCGAAGTACAAATTCAAAGAAAGGTTAAGATCTTAGCTAAAAAAATCTGGGTACAATTGCTGATGATCTTATTTTGTTGTTCTATAAAAATTCAAAACTGTTGTTTATAGCTCTGTTTATCTCTTGAATGTAAAAATTAAATGAAAAAACAGATTTTCTCTATAATAAAATTTTATTGGTTGTACCCATAGAGAAAACACGGTGATAAATAAAGTATTGTAACACTTTTAACAAATCACCTAGCAAAACTGAGTTATTATTAAACAATTAGTTAATATTAATAACCTGGTTAGTACCAAACTGACTAATGAACTCATAATAAATCTGTCATAATTGCCTAATAATTTAGTTAATAATAATATTGTTTTTAAATTACTGCTAATAACAAGCTTTGCAGGTTTCCGATTTTAAAAACATCAGTCAAATTTTAAGAATAAATTAATTTAGATGTATAAACAGTCATTCAAATAAAATAATGTGAGCTCTAATCGAATCCGAATTTTACACAATTATTGTATTGTATTATTATACATAACATGTATATGTTGCTTACTATTTAACTGGGAATAAGCCACAATTAAACATAAAAATACGTTTATTGACATTTCAATTTCCACTTCGGAAATCGTTTTCAAAATACAAACAGTAAATTAAACAAATTTTGTTTTTTGTTACATAGTGAAAAATTCTTCTAATAATTTAATTTTATCTGACTCATTTATATTGACAATTCAAACATACATTATGCATTTTAAAGTAGACGACTTTAAAATGATATTGCCAATATTGTTGAGTTGCGCTCCTGGATAATAAATAAAATTCAATACGAAAATAAAATTAAAGATCTATTAATAAACGGACCTTATACAAAATTAACAAAAGATCCAACAAAGCCTTTGGAAAACAAAATATATAGAACTTTATTCAAGTTTAAAGATGTTTTAACAAGTTATCAGATAGGATTAATTACACCTCATTACAGTAAGACTCCTCATTTTTATGGAGTACCGAAAATTCATAAAACGAATATACCACTTAGACCCATTTGTATTACCATGAATTCTAATTGTAGTGAACTATCAAAATTTTTATTAAACATTTTAAAACCATTTACAAATAAAAATGACACATTCATAAAAAATACACAACATTTTTTAAGTAAATTATCAAATATTGAATTTAATTCAAATAATACTTTGGTAAGTTTTGACATAAATAGTTTATTTACGAATGTGCCATTAAATAAGACTTTAAGTATAGTCAAGACAAAATTAGAGAGTGATGATTCATTGGCAACTAGAACAAGATTAAACATATCGGCTATAATGGAGTTATTAACATTATGTACTGATACTACATATTTTCAACTAAATAATGAATTCTATAAACAAAATTTTGGTCTAGCAATGGGCTCTAGTTTATCTCCATTCTTAGCCGATATATTTATGGAAGATTTTAAAACAAATATCATTTCTAAACAAAATTTC